TACTCTTGCTTCGGGGGACTGCCACAGCCTCAAAGCTCCTCTTGCTCTGGGAAGGTAAAGTGAGGACAGACAACATTCCCAACCCCCTCACTACCACCCCCACACACACTGGAGCATGAGATTGATAGAAAGCATATGGGCAGTGGGGCCTAAAGTCTGGATGTGAGTATACCCAACAGAGGCCATCATGATCTGAGGCCATGGCAGAGCCAAAGAGAAAAGGGCACACAGGTACCCCCAAAAGATTTCACACTGGAAGACTCCAAGTTTTACATTAGAAGTGACTACATCATTTGTAGGTTGTAAAATCTCATTCACTTCCCAGGCCCTACCCCTGCAACACACACAATGGCCTCTAGTGAGTGCCATAAGCAAACAGGACCACAAGCAATGTGACTTAATTCTAGTTCTGGGTTGTGACCAGAGACGTTGACTTCCTTATACGTCCAGTATGTCAATTAAATGATGAGTGAAGAATCCTCTTACACATGACATTAAGTTTGTATGAACAGTACCATAGGCAAAACTGGCTTCAAGTCCTTGTTCTGTTTTCCCTGTTAGTTTCTTCTCTCTTCCTTCAAGGGCCCTCCAGTTACTCCTGTGATGGGACACCACCCACCATTGGCTACTCCGTTATAAACCAATCTCCCCATCATCCCCATCAACCCTGACTTAGGAAACCTCTGTACTGGAATAGCCTTTGTTCCTCAGGCTTTGGAAAACAATCTGCTGCCCTGATGAAATGACCTTTAACAGCACAGCACGGTCAGCTAGCCTGACCTCCACATAAGGGACATGCACTGCTATTCTTAAAAAATTAATACACACATGTGTGGGTTTGTATGTGCTCGTGTGTGTGTGTGTGTGTGTGTGTGTGTGTGTGTGTGTGTTAACACAAACTCCTGAGGTGTGGGATGGAATTCTGTAAAGGAGTGCTTTCAGAGGTGGAATTAAAGGTCTATAGGCAGGAAATGCTGAGAAAAAATGTGCTACCAGGTAACCCTCCCTTGTGAATCACACTGGATTGGTACTCTTCATTTTGCTCCAGGGTGGGCTGGGCAGGCTCAGAAGCCATGTTCTGTTCTGAACTTTGCTCACTGAGGATGCAGAGACATGAGAGAAATGAGCAAAGCCTGTCTATGTCCAAAAAGTGGGAAACACACTGAAGTGTGTTTGTTGAAGTGAAAAGTGGGATGTTCTAAGAAGACAGGAAAGCAGCTCAACAATTTACCTCTGGGCAGAGAAGTACTGGGACCACAGCAAGTTCCAGGCAGAGGTCATGGGTCCTCTGCATGCCTCTCCTGCTCCACCCCTCACTCAGGGGAGGGAAAACAAAGTCGATACAGAAGCAGAGGGACTTCCGGCCTTAGAGAGTCCATGGGCAGCTGTTGCCACTGCAATTTTGGGTCATGTGCCTCAGTTTCCCTAGCTCCTAAAAGAGGGTAATAATTTTCCACTACTCACCCGATGCTCCTGAGATTTGCAGAAAGTCCTCAGGGTAATAAAGAGATTATGTCTGAAGGTAAGCCATTGTTCACTGCACATGGTTCTTAAAACTTCACCAAAACATAATGGGGAGGGGCACAGATACCATTGGGCAACTGTTTAAATAAATGCTATGGTAGCAGAGTGAATTAACATTAACACACCGTCAGGGAATAAAGAAAGCGGGAGCAAAGCCTGTCCTCATGTGCACAAATGCTCTTGCCCCTGCTAATTCTTAAGCACTAAGGACCATTCCTGAGATGCTAAAGGCAATCACAGCCGAGTTACCAAAAGTTATGGACAAGTCAAATATGTTTTTGTAAATAAAAGGGTTTCATGGTGTCATCTGAGAGTATCTGCTTGGCATGAGTGATTGTGAAGCTGTGGTATATAATATTCTTACATGAACTATGACAGAGAGGTGTTTGCAATGAGGCTGCAAGATGAAGGCCAGCACACTATTGGCATCGGCCACTGACTGTGCATTTTCACTTTACCATCCCATCCTCACTGCAGCATGGTAAAACCTGCCATGATTGTTCTTGCTTTAAAGACGAGTAAATAAGATATATGAGGTTTAAAAAAGAAAGAAAAATGTGTACTTTACTGAGTGTCAGCTATGGCACTCAGACAGTGTGACTTCTCTGCATCCCCACCCACACCCTAGTCAGCAGAGGAGCAGATTCCAGGAACCTAACAACACCTGGCAACATGTTAGGAGGGCTTATAAACACCAGCCCCACAGAGAGCTGCATGTGGTCTCCCCCCCAGCCAGCCTCATGGGACAGACGCTATTCTCATGAAGCGTACATATAAGGAACTCGGGGTGTTTCACAACCTCCTTTTCATCGTTGTCTCCTCCCACCACCCTGAAGGAACCCTTTCTAAATCAGCCCTGAAAAACATTTCAAACCACAGGGAAACCCTGTGTTTATCTATAGGGCTGTACATGTGTCTGTGCTTCGTAAGATTAAGGTTTGGTCGTGGACCTCCCAAGAACCACGTTTTTGTCCCATTGAGAATGTGCAGCCGCCACTGGGTACAGCTTTCTGAGAACAGTGTACAGAGAACAGAAAAGTCCGTGCATGCATTTATTTCTCATTGCTCATTCCACCCTTCCGCACTGACTGCGTGCCAAGAGGTCAGATACAGCCGAGCACGGTACCGCATGCTTCCACGTGACTCAAGTTCAGTCTCAGATGGAAAGACTTACACCAGCAGGTCAGAGATGGTGACTGCAGCTGCAGAGTCTGATGGGAAGGAGGGGTATGAAGACATGCAAGGTATGCACATGCACCTTAGTTTTTAAAAGTCTAAACACAGAGAATCTGCATCCCGCTAATTATCTCTCAGCACACTAGAGAGAAGTCTCTCTTGGTGTGTGTCAGTCCGGGGTCTTGAAATTGGTCCCCAAGGATCCTAACCACATATACTGCTGGATCCAAACCCTGCTGCGTGTACTGTTTGCACGCTGTGGTGGGAAGATCACTTTCTAGCCTCTGTCCTGGGCTCCCACACCCCATTCTAAGGTGCTTACTTCACAGTGGAGTGGAGAAAGGAGGAATCCCTCAACATCCCAGGAGGGTCTAGGAACTTCCTCAGGCAGCTGGCTTTAAAACCAAGTGCTCTGAGGTTTATAACTGGCTGCCAGGAAGAGTGACAAACAGAAGCAAGGGGAGGTGCTCCCGGAGACTCTGGGGAGTCCAGCTTTCTGGGCAGCGGCTCCTGAGCTTCTCCACATTTATCGCACTAGCACTGCCTGGTGATTCTAGAGCAACACTGTTAGTTTGTTTTTCACAGGTTTATGTCACTTTCCCAAGAAGACAAGGGATGGCCTGTGGTTGGGACTGTCCTTACACATTTGACTGTGTCCACAGGGACCACTCATGCTGCTTACCACCAGGCACCTGGGGCTGTGTAAGTATGAAAGTGCAATTGGTTAAACCTGATGTTGGCAGCAGGGTCTGAAAGAAAAATGGAAGTCTGTGCTCGCTCCGCACAGGACACAATCAGGATGCCTACCTAACAGAATTACAAGATATGACAAAATTTAGAGCACAAGGGGGAAAATGCTTATAAACTGTGCCTTGTAGAAAATCCAGGACATGTAGCCAGCATGGCTTTGATGCAGTCTCGAAAGCCTTGTATCTTCAGCTAGAAAGGACACCACAGGAGAGAAACTTGGTTGAGTTTGCTTGGGAAGGAACGGGAAATGGGATTAACAGAGTAAATCAGGTGTTGAAACTGTCTTCAGGGGTAGAAAATAAAAGAACAAGTCAGGGGAAATGGCAAAAACCAATCTTTTAAAGCTTTGATTCCAGCACTGATGTTTTGTTTGTTTGTTTTTCAAGGTTTCTCTGTGTAGTCCTGGCTGTCCTGGAACTTATCCTGGAACTCGATCTTTAGACTAGGCTGGCCTTGAACTCACTGAGATCTGCCTGCCTCTGCCTCCTGAGTGCTGGGATTGAAGGTGTGCGCCACCACACCTGGCTCACCAGCACTGATTTTAAAAAGCCAGGTGTAGTGATGTCCACCTCTACTCCCAGTAACGGTGAGCTGGAGGTAAAAACAAATGGGTTTCTGTCAGGTGGTCTAGCCTCCCAGGCAAGTTCTAGGCCAGTGAAAAACCCCGTGCTTGAGGAATGACACCCAAGGTTAGATGCTGATCTTTATGTGCTCATGAGCACACACACACACACACACACACACACACACACACACACACACATACACGAATGCACTCTACGCAGGAAGGGAGGGAGGGAGGGAGGGAGGGAGAGAGGAGGGAGAAAGAGACAGACAGATACACACACACACACACACACACACACACACACACACACACACACACACGTGTCAGAGACAGAGAGAAGTCAAATAGAACTCTGGACTTGTTGGGGGTCTCTTGAACATCAAGTATCCTGCCAAATACAGTGGCAACATGATCATACTTAGTCTTCACGGTGACCAATGGCGGTAGGTGCCACTGTTACACACCGGTCATACAGAAACCCACAGGGACAGAGGCAGGTGTGCTTGACACAGACAAGTTTACAAGGAGCACAGACGAACGTCTCCGAGACCTTCACCCCGAGCTGTGCGTTGCTCTTGCCTCCCCTGCATATCACTGAAAGATTTGGGTGACGCGGTTTTCTCCAGGGCCAGAGAAAGCCTGCCTCTGGGGTAGGTGGATAAACGGTTGCTATGAAAACGGACCTAGCCAGGCGGCAATGGCGCACGCCTTTAACCCCAGCACTCGGGAGGCAGAGCCAGGTGGATCTCTGTGAGTTCGAGGCCAGCCTGGGCTACAGAGTGAGATCCAGGACAGGCACCAAAACAACACGGAGAAACCCTGTCTCAAAAACAAATAAACAAACAACAACAACAACAAAACCTAAAGAGCAACTCCAGGGTGGAGCTCTGAGCAAGGGCTGCCGAAGCAGTAGAGAATTTCAAGTTAGGTGAAGAAGTATCCACTATCCCGAGTGGCCCAGTGTGCCCCTTTCCACCCTTACCTGTACTGTTCCCACAGTGTAGAGCTTCTTCAGATTCGAGGCACACTCAGCGGCCGTGGCACCAGGGAGTGATCTAAGGGCAGCAAAACAACAAAGAAACAAACAAATCCAGTCAGTGACGGAAGATATTCCACAATCTAACTATGTGGGTCTTCACAGCACGTGTGTCTAAAGCCTCCTTCGAACAGGACATTTGGAGATGCTGGCCAGAATTTTTTAAATCTTTTTTTTTTTTTTATTGTGAAGGCATGGGTTTGCATCTCCTAACAGAATTTTTATTTTGTGGAAATTTAACAGATAAAAAGTAAAGTATACAAGAAAGGTACCGGACACTTTAAAACTACACAGTAAAAAGTATGAAAATAAGCCGGGCGGTGGTGGCGCACGCCTTTAATCCCAGCACTCGGGAGGCAGAGCCAGGCGGATCTCTGTGAGTTCGAGGCCAGCCTGGACTACCAAGTGAGTCCCAGGAAAGGCGCAAAGCTACACAGAGAAACCCTGTCTCGAAAAACCAAAAAAAAAAAAAAAAAAAAAAAAGTATGAAAATATCCTATGATCATAAAGGCATTGTTCAGGACTTCAGATTAAAAAAAAAATGTCTGCTGTGCCAACGGCAATGAGAATGCACCCTCCTCTTCTGGGTGATCTGTTTAAAATCCTATAACCCCCTGGTGGTAAATATCCACACACCCCTGGGAAACAGAGGAGCATTCAGTTATTTTAGAGAATACGATTAACAATTAGTGTTGGTTTCCCTCCTGAATTTGACTTGAAAAACAGACAAACAAACGAACAAACAACAAACAACCCTTTCAGTAGTTCCCCCTGAGCTCATGCAAGCAGCTCTTGGGAACTGTTATAGCCATAACACATTAATCTCCAGTTTCTATATATTCCACTAGATGGCAACACACTACAGGTTTATTCTCTGGGAGAGGAAAAAAAAAAAAAAAAAAAAAGCACTTTGGCTTTCCAGTACAGTTCCCGGGGTTGGGAGTGCCGATCTCTAGGTATTCACTGTCCTCCTGCTGACCTAGCAGTTTGTGCTCCAAGGCACTGGGGTCCTTGTTAGGATCAGGTCTAAGATGATGCTTCACCACACAAAGAACGCTCCGAAGCCCATATCTCCTGTGGGTGAGGAATCAAGGGCTCGCTAAGAGGGGAGACACCCTGCTCACAACAGACACACCAGCATCTAGAATCCATAAAAGCACACTCTTCATCAGCCACTGACCCTAAAGACCCTAAGAGGCCCAGTCCCAGAGGTCATCAACATGGGACACTTTGCAGAGAGTTGTTATCTACTGTATCCTAGAGATGTAGAGAAGACCCCCCCCCCAACCACCACTCCCAGCTCTGAAGCAGAGGTGATGAGGTGGTTAAGGCCCTGGGCGCAGGGCTCCATTGCCCACATTCTGGAACCACGCACCTGTGAGAACGTCAGAGCTGGGGAGACGGCTCAGTGAGGAGAGCGCTTGCCATGTAAACGTGAGGAGCAGAGTTCAGACCTCCAGCATCCATGTGAAAGCTGGGGCGGTGACAGACATCTGTAACCCCAGTGCTGGGGGGCAGAGGGGACAGGAAGGTCCCAAGAGCTTGCTGGTCAGCCATCTTGCTAAAATGGCAAACCCCAGGTTCAGTGTGAGACCACCTTGTCTCCAAACATAAGGTAGAGAGCAAGAGAGGAAGATACACATCAACCCCTGGACTGCACACATGCACATGTGGGCTTGCACAATGGTATACACATATCTACATCACACACACACACACACACACACACACACACACACACACACACACATCAAAATATCGAAATGCATTTTTGGACATAGTTCCCTTGTCTAGAGGTCAGTAAGGAAGCAACTATGGACAAGCTTAGGGGCAAAGATGTCTTGTTACCCACTAGGCAGATACATTCTAATAAGTCATGGGTATATAATTATTTCCTAACTGTTTACAAATTTTATGGCCTTTGTTTTTAAAAAGCAAAACCATGACCACAAACATGGCTGCCTGTTGTTGTCAGGTCTCACCTAAGCTGACCTGAGTGGACAGCGATGGTAAACACACAGGGACCAACACGCTGGTGATAACAGCGCGGTTGCCTGGACCTCAAAGAAACCCATCAGGGAGCATGGATGGTCTGGACAGTGGTCACTAAAGCATCTACTTGGACAAAGATAAATACGCTAGATAAAGCATGTTACTGCCATCACAGTTTAGAAAGACATTAGGAAAAAATGGAAAGAACTCAACACTTTTTTTTCTTTTTCTTTAAATTTGCTAGGCATGGACTGTTTCAAAGTCTATTGCTTTTACATGAAAACCAACTGGCACTTAATCCGACTAACTTTTCTTTCTTTGTACTGGATGACTGCTCTACCAAGTACACCCAGAAAATATATTCCCGGATCCTACAAGTACTTTAGACAGGACTCCTTCCCCAGCTGCACTCAGGAAGGGGGCCAGTGAGAACCTAAGGGAGGGAATGAATTCTGCAGTTTTTCAACCTGCAGAATAAAATGATATATTTGAAATTTTCACAGATACTCTTCAATTTAAAATAGCTTAGAGTATTATGTGAGTATTCACTTCGGACATTATCATGTCAAATTATACAAATCCAACACGCAGGTGGTAGCTACCATTTAACTTTCAAATTTCAATGATGAGCATTTGGTCTCTGGGGCTCTTTCACGGACCCTGCTTCTAGTCTGGTCTCCTCCTGATACTCTGGGGTAGGAGACAATTGCATAAGTCACCTAAGGGCTCTGTTTCTCTGTCCAAGTGTGAGGTGACCGCTGCTGCTGTTGAGTGGCACAGTCCTGCAGGGGCCCCTGTAGCTTACAGTGGTGCTTGGGGCCATTTTACAGTGAGCACTCTGGGGCTCAGAGAGGCATGGCAGGAACATTTAACCCAGGACAGGAACATTTAACAAACCCAGATGATGTGCTTCTGATGGCGGTTCCTCATCCCAACACTGCGGAGCTGCCCAGTCAAGTCCTAGCAATGACAAAACCTGGGTCTCATACATGCTGAGCATGTGCTCTACAACTGAGCTCTGCCCAGTTCCACACTTCCCTTTTGGTGTATGCACTTGGGTGTATACAGGGTATCTCCATTAATCACTCGGTAGCGTAGTTTTGAAGACAGGGTCTCTCACTAAACCTGGAGCTCACTAACTGACTAGGCTGTCTGATCCACAAGTGTCTGGGATCCTCCTGTGTCCAGTGTCCTGCACTGGGATTGCAGGCGAGGTTAGCACACCTGGTTCTTTACACGAGGGCTGGGGACCAGCACCCAAGACCTCATGCTTGCGGAGTAAGCACTAACTCTCCTGCCCACACTTCTTGTATTTCTAAAGGAAAACAAAAAGCTACCTTTTTTCTGTTTGTATGTGGTGTGTGTGTGTGTGTGTGTGTGTGTGTGTGTGTGTGTGTGTGTATGTGTGTGTATGTGTGTGTGCACGTGTGTGCTATGCTCTCTCAGTTGTGTACATATGGAGTCTAGAAGTTGATGTCCGATGTCTTCCTCTATAATTCTCCACTTTTATTTCTCTATTTTTCTGGAACAGGGTCTTTCACTGAACCTGGAGACTGTTGTTGGGGCTACAATAGCTGGTCAGCAAATCTCCAGAGTCCTCCTGTCTCAGTTCCCCAGTGCTGGGGATGGGGTGGCAGTGGCAAGGGGCGGGGGACGTGTTACAAGCATCACGTGCCCGGCTTTCACATGGGCGTTGAGGATCCAAGCTCAAATCCTCATCATAAACAGCAAGCGCTTTAGCTACTGAGCCACCCCTCAGCCCCATTCGTCGACATTTCGTAAGGAATCCTGGTGTGTTTTCAACAAGGCCATCACTTTTGCTTAATCTTATTTTTAATTCAAGAGTGTGTCTGTGGGAATTAGAAGATGTGGTTTAAAAGTCTTTCCAATGAAGCAGCGGAGGGAAGGTCCTCACAACATTCAACAGGAACATGCTTGGCCACAGCCATCCTTTGATAGGCAAACATAGCAATGAATCAGGGCAGGAAGGAAATGTCTGGCTCCAGAGAAACTCAGGGTGGTCGTTTGAATGAAAAATACCCCCATCTGAAGAAATGTACCTAACTGGCGGCGGCACTGTTTGTGGGGAGGTTAGGGAACCTGTAGAGGTGGAGCCTTGCTGGATAGAAGTGCGTCCCTGGGGGTGGGCTTTGAGAGCGATTGCCTTGTCCCTCTTCCCATCCTCCCTGTTCCCTGTGTGCAGATGAAATGTGCTCAGCCAGCTCCTGACTCCCACTGCCATGCCATGCCTTTCCCTGCCAGGATGGACACCAGCTTCTCACGAACCCTAAGCAAAAAGAAACCCAGCCAGGCGTCGGTGACGCACACCTTTAATCCCAGCACTCGGGAGGCAGAGCCAGGAGGATCTCTGAGTCCAAAGCCAGCCTGGTCTATAGAGTGAGATCCAGGACAGGTACCAAAACTACACAGAGAAACCCTGTCTTGAAAAACCAAAAAGAAAAAAAAGCAAAAAAGAAACCCTTTCTCCTCAGGTTACACTGGGTCATCGTGTTTGATCTCGGCGACTGTAAAGGACGGTCAGCTTCCCAGTTACTTCACGAAGGAAGCTGTAACTCTCACTAGCTGCTGGGTGGTTTTATTAATATCTGTCTTGAATACTAACACAACAACAGTGTTGTCAGGACTATGTTCGCTCAGCTGGTCGGTGCAGGTTTGGTGTTCTATTCACCAAACTCGATCCCAAGAGTCACTAAAACATGCTGCTATGTCTCCACCTCACCCCTGAACCTCAGGCTTCCTTAACAAGCAAGACTGGGCCACAGCCACAGAGCCCATTTTAGAAGGGCAAAGCAGCCAAGGTTTTCAAGCAACCTGCCGCGTAAGCAGGTCAATGTGCACCGGATTTGCTGATTCAAGGTGTCTCATCTGCTGTCGGCTACGGTGACTGCTTTTTTTTTTTTTTTCCATTACTGAGGACTGAACCCAGAGCCTCACGCATACTAGGCAACTGGGTTATATCCTCAGCATTGTTTTGTTTGTTTTTTGTAAAGACATATTTTGAGACAG